ACTGATTCCAAAAAAATTGCTACTGGGATTTTCATTTGAAATCTAGATTAATAATTATTGCTCTATCATTGATTGGATTGACTCTTCTAACCTTTGATTTTTGCTTGCAAAAACATTAGTGGAATGGTGTTTGGTGGCTGATAAAGATTTTGAGTGCCTTGAATGGTAGGCAAAACACAAATCAGTTTGAGGTACTATTCAACTTTTTATATACATTCATTGCATCTATTTTTCTTGAAATAAGAAAAAACTAAAGTAAGGATCTTATATGCATAAATACGTGGTAGGATTGTCACTTAAGTTACGACACTGTGGATGTTAACTCGGTTGACAAACCCACTTCGACTTCGAGATTTGTGACTTGGGGGTTAAGAATTCAATGTATCATAATTCGAGTAGACAATTCTGTACTCTGTCATGTGTACATATATGACTAGAATAACGCTACTCAAACATGGATTAAAAATAGGGTTTTGGATAGATGCTTTGTGGCTATTTTTTTTTCGACCAGTCCAGTGATGTTACACCACACTTCCCCCTATTTTTAATTCCTGTCACTGAACTTATTTGTATAGCACGATTGTACATGACCATTCGTGTAAGTATTTCTTAGTGGAGTGGAGTGGCTGGTCCCATTTCTGAAATATACTTTCCACCATGTACATATGTATACGTACAACTGGAGATGGAGACTCCTATCTTCTCTTCAAAGCAAAGTCTCTTTCCATAACATTAAAAAATTTTCAGCCATTGGATTAGATTAAATCCAAATTCTCCAAATCTTGTAGAAAAATGCAGTAATTTCCAGATTGAAAAGTATACCTACCTGCTTTTATCTTTCTTTACTAGAATTGACCTTTAAGATTGTCTCGTGATTCCTTTTTTCTACTTCATTTTCCAAGGGCATTATGGACATTTCACTTATATCTCGCACCATTTTTGATTGGACAGTAGTGATGGAGGTTGGAAAGTTCCTTCCTTTGCTTTGATCAGCTGTCATTTGCATATAAAAATTAGCTTATTTATAAGTGATTAATTTGGTATTAATTTTTAAAGGCCATTTGCATTTTTTATGGGTTAATGATCATGCAAGATTCTTGAAGGCTCAATTCCTAACCCCTCTTTTATTAATTTAATGCAGTTTTTTAATGCTTATTATATAATTTATCTTTGATGATTGCAACTGCTCCATGTCTTCAGATTTTCTATGAAAAAAAGTGATTTTTGCTAACATTTTGCTCATTTCAGGCGCAAGTGGAAAGGTTGTTGTTCGTCTGAAGTCGTTTTCTCCCTTGTGGATGATTTTGATGTGAAAATCTTTGATTTCTCGTAGTTTTCGAGTTGTTAGTAAGGTAAAGAATCTGATTTTTGAAAAAATGTATCTCTTTTGCATTATTGTTATATAGGTTTGATTTTTGTGCATTTCTGTTGTTTTAGCTCTGGTAAAAGTTTGATCTGTACCTTTCTCCATCATGGTCGATGATGGTGTACAAGAAGTTGTAGTAGATAACCTGTCGGCTGAAGAATGGCTATCTCGTGCACAGGGACTTGTTCCGGTGGCAATAGAGAAGGCACGGGAGGTTAAAGGTTTCCCGGGTAGGTGGAAGATGATAATCGAAAAACTGGATCAGATTCCCTCACGATTATCGGACTTTTCTTGCCATCCTTGCTTTTCGAAAAATGCGCTTTGTATAGAGCAATTGCTAGGTGTTTTGAAGACATTGAATAAAGCAATTGAGCTTGCGGATTTGTGCGTGAAACTGAAGTACGAAGGGAAACTTCAAATGCAAAGTGATCTCGATGCACTATTGGGGAATCTGGATTTGAATTTACGAGATTGTGGGCTCTTGATCAAAACCAAAGTGCTCGGTGAGGTTACTTTGCCATTGACCGCAGGAAGCACTTCGACCGAACCGGAAGCTGCAAGTCTTGGCAATGTACGAGAATTGCTTGCGAGACTTCAGATTGGTCACTTGGAGGCTAAACATAGATCTCTTGACAACCTTGTTAAAGTCATGAAAGAGGACGAGAAGAGCTTGCTGGCCGTTCTGGGACGAACCAATATTGCAGCATTAGTTCAATTGCTTACAGCTACTTCTCCTCGAATCAGAGAAAAAACCGTGACTGTCATTTGTTCTCTCGTAGAATCTGGAAATTACGAGAATTGGCTTGTTTCTGAAGGCGTTCTTCCTCCCCTTATACGGCTAGTTGAATTTGGTAGTGCTGTAAGTAAAGAGAAGGCTACAATTTCTCTCCAGAGGTTGTCCATTTCATCAGAAACAGCTCATTTGATAGTCGGGCATGGTGGGGTTGGGCCTCTGGTTGAGATCTGTCGAACTGGTGATTCTGTTTCACAAGCAGCCGCAGCTTGTACCTTAAAAAATATTTCTTCCGTGCCAGAGGTTCGACAAACACTAGCTGAAGAAGGGATTATTAAGGTGATGATCAATCTTCTTGATTGTGGAATTCTATTGGGATCTAAAGAGTATGCAGCAGAATGCTTGCAAAATCTCACATCCACCAATGACAACCTCCGAAGGTCTCTAATCGAAGAAGGTGGGATAAGAAGCCTGTTAGCTTATTTAGACGGTCCACTGCCTCAAGAATCTGCGGTCGGGACGTTGAGAAATTTGGTCGGTTTTATCTCAAACGAAGTTTTCATTTCGTTAGGCATTGTCCAGAGGTTGGTGCAAGTACTTAAATCGGGGTCTCTTATCTCGCAGCAAGCAGCAGCTTCAGCGATTTGTCGAATCTGCAGCTTGACTGAAATGAAAAAACTAGTAGGAGAAACGGGATGCATTCCTCTTCTTGTAAGAATGCTGGAGGCTAAAGCTAATGATGCAAGGGAGGTTGCTGCACAAGCAATTTCTAGCTTGATGACCTATTCTTGTAATAGGAGAGAAGTAAAACGAGACGATAAGAGCGTGCCAAATCTCGTCGCATTGCTTGATCCGAGCCCCCAAAACACGGCCAAAAAATATGCTGTTTCCTGCCTTTCGTTGCTCTCCTCGAGCAAGAAATGCAAGAAGCTGATGATTTCGTATGGGGCTATTGGTTATCTCAAGAAGCTTAACGAGATGGAGATTCCAGGAGCCGAGAAACTCATCGAGCGTCTGGAAAGAGGGAAATTGAAAAGCCTCTTTAGCAAGTAGCAGGAAAGCATTGATCTTGTTGTACAATGAAGTACATACTTTTATATTCATACAAATTAATGCATTAATTAGTATTAGGAATAAAATAATAAAAAAAAAATCTCTGTAGCGACTAGTCGAATTGCTTCTATTGTATCTCCTACCTAAAGTTTCATTACAAGTAAAATAAAATCTTCTTTTCCTTAGCAAAGCACTCGAACTACTTCCACTGATACGAGTTCATGTCTTCTCGTCTTGCTTATTACGCTACAATGGGTTCACTTGTTCTTACAACAGGAACCTTTGGGTTTTGCTGGTAATAGCTAAATTTACCCACCTCCAGCTATGTTATTACTACTGAATGCTGCAGAGACGACCAAGGAGAGCACCGGCAGCACCACTGCCCATACAGTAGGATGAAAGGCACCAAAGATCAGAAGTGCAGCAGAAGTCACAAATTTCACTGTTCTATTAAGAAATTTGCAGCAGATACGATTCATATGAAGGTGACAGTGTGTGTACTAAAGACCAAAACAGAATATAAGAAAAATTTATTGCAACATTAGTGATTTCGGTCGTCCAATGCCTGTTAGAGCTCTCTTCAACCTGCTCATGGCTAGAATATCGGTTTCAGATCAAATATGAAAAACTAGAAGATTCCACCTCCACAAAGCGCCTACAACTAATGTCTTAAGCTGATTTTCCTACGAAAATTACACATTTTACTGAGTGTGCTTTACTAATCTGATACAAAGTATCAGCTCTAAGCTATGTTCCTTTGACTAATTGTTCACATCACTGCATCATTTTTGAACCCGCAAGATTCAAAACCACTCTGAGTGGCACTGTGCTACATGTTGGAGTCACGTACATATATATACATGTGGTCCTTTGGTCGTATATCATAAAATACAGAACTCCAAATCACAATCCTATGAAGTACGATTTATCTCTTAATAGTACGTTACTTCCGTATGAAGTCAAGTCAGCTTCCACCTAGAACTTTTTTTTTTTTTTATAATCGTGGATGTCCGTGCCAGCTTACGCACACTTCGACTAATCCCACGGGGCCCTAAAGTTTACGGCCGGGTACTCATCTTAATGGCCCTGAGGGGATTCGAACTGGTAACCATTGGAGAGTAAACCCAATGTCTGACCAATTGAGCAACCCCTCAAGTTTAACTTCCACCTAGAACTTGCAGTAAGATTTTCATAATATCTAGATTGTAATAACTACACAAATAGGGATCCATTGGTTGTAGCAATTAATCACAACCCACTAACATATGGGACTTTTGAGTTATGGTAAATCATACACACAGTTCTGAACAAAAGTTAAACAATTTCTATGCAAAATCCTATCTGTTTTGAGTTATATGACAATTATAAAATACCGTATACCATTATCGTCTAACTTACAAGTCAAGTCTGTCAGCAGATGTTTGAAATCTAGAGTTCAGAGCAATGGCCAAGGAGGCATCAATCTTTTCTTCTGACAAAACGGGGTCAATTAAGCTCACGGAGATTTTGTCTCAGACATGAAGGGCATTTGGAATCTATGGAGAAACAATTTCATGAACTTACAGGAATGTTTTTTTCAGCATCTCCAGCCTTGGAACGAGAAGAGAGGTCGATTCGTTTGAAGTATATGCATAATGTGTGAATTCTTGACCAGATTTTCACATTAAAATCCGAGATTCGTTGAAGAAAACTGGGGTTCTGATATAGGTACATAAGCAAGGAAACAAGGAGGCATGACACTGTAACGCACCCTGTGATGGCAAAGAGAACTTGAAAGCTTCGCAATGTAACACTGCTTGGGGTGATAGAATTATCTGGTCCTACGCATGTTGGATTACTAGACTTCAGCTGAGAAATCTCGAATATTCTACCATTTTCTGTCAATTCAATTATGGCGCGGGAGACATCAGCAACTATGGGCGAGCTTTTAGGAAAAGCCTGTTGATTTAAAAAGAATATGAGATGATCAGTAACATGAGTGACCAGATCGAGGAGTTTACTCGACCCTGTTGGACCAACACGTGGTAGACGACTAAAAGCATTGTCTACCCGTGCTGAATGCCAAACTCCATAACAGGGTAGTACAGGAGATAGATTGGGCCAAGACTTGATGGAAACTAGTATAGTATCATGAAAGGAAAAATACTTACGAAAGCAAATCCATCTGTACGATAGGTAGGGCCAAGTATCTTGTATTTCTTGCAGAATTCAAATAATAAAGCGCTGATGTGAGGCATAACATCAAAATAGGCTGATATACCTCCATTACTACTTCCCATTGATAAAGCTTCGTCACAATCATGAGCAGACTTATATGTCCTGATTTTTGATTCTTCAAATCCTAAACCATTCAAGAAATCAACAAGAAAGGATCCTTGTTGACACCCAACATAATCTCCACTCCTAATAAGTTCCTTCATATCTGTGACAGCTGGTTGAAGCCTTTGAAAAGTTAACCTCGATGATAAGCTAGCAGTATAGGTCGAGGTTAGCAAACTTGCAACAAATGCCCATCCCACTAAAATAAGACATATTAAAGCGCCTTCAATTCCTTGACCTACATGTTGACACAAGTTCCGTCAGAAATTTATCGCAAGAGTGATACAAGGAAAAATGAATAATCTGTTTAAATAATGGTAAAAAGATATAGTAAATTTTCACTATGTAAATACTAATGTCAAGAAGAGGAGATAGATCACCAGGAAAGAAGGGAAAATAACAAATCATGCCAGCATGTTGACCGGCAGAACCCCGGGAACTGGTGTCAATCCTTTTTCCAAGTATCCACAGTGCCAGACCAGTAAAGATATAAAACATAGCTGATATTAGCCACAGCTCTTTATTCAGAGGCTCTAAAAACGTCCACTTATCATTTGCATCCTCATATGTAATTGGCACAATACTAGTAATTCCTCCTTCTGCATATGGCAAAGTAAAGTCCACATAAATTGATCGGTTAGCAGTAATTGTTATATCTCCCAGAGCAGCATCATATTTCTCCTGTTCTCGGCAAAGAAAAATGGAACAAAAACCAATGAATACCACGTAAAAGCAATAAATTTTTTGCAGAGTAGAAGAGAACTACGTAATCATAAGAAAAATAAATAAATGTATGATTAACCTGCTGAGAAACTTTATGTATGAGATCATTGTAACTTCCAGCGCTTGAACCGTCAGAGTTTTCAAAGGGATAAAGAACGTATTCATATGGCACAGCATATGGTAACGCTGCCATGACAGAATCGAACACCTCTTTAAAGTATCCACTGACTTTTGTAGCATTAGTTTGAGGATCCTTTTCCACTTTCAGGAATTCATTAAAACCAGATTTTTCTGGCACTCCAACTCTTAGCTTTTTACCACTAACTGGAGATTCCCATCCCTTTGGTGCTGTTACTGAGTCCCCTGGCCAAATGATACTCTTGAAATTTTCCTTTAAGGTTGAGTAAGAATTGTTCACATTCAGATTGAATTCCTTGGAAATTCCGTGGGACGGTGTCCAAATTCCTACCACTCTTTCAGCTTTCCCAACAATATTAACTATTTGATACGATTTTCGCTCCAGATGTCCATTACGAAGATAAAAGTCTCCAGCGAGCCCTCGAAACCTTGTTTCTAAAATTTCTTTGAGAAGTTCAGGACCGCTTTCAGAAATCCCTAGAGGAAATGAGACAGCTGAATTGAAACCAGAAGCATTCTTTATTCCATTCAGCTGCTTATATCCAACTCTTTCTGCTGCCATAGCAAGGGCCCATAGGGTATCGTATGCCCAAAGGCCATAAATACTTACTTCTGTCGGTTTGATGTCTTCATAAAGCTGATTAAACATCCTTTTCCATCTATTAGTGAAAGAGTCGAGCTCTTTAGATTTTGGGATTTGATGTTTTACACCCAAAACACCTTGCATAGCTTCGACAACGTCTAAATCCATCAAACTGAATAGATCTGTCAAGCCACTGGTAACAATCCAGGCATAGCCATGATTCATCATTCCTAGCTCCTTTGATTTTAGAAAGAGCCTAGAACCAAGAAGCAGTGGCATGTGCACCACAAAGACTCTTGTCTGCATGGTCATCATTTTATATAGTTCTTTGCTTAAAAGATCACTACTGGCTGATTTTGGCAAAGCACTTCTATACAAAACTCGAGCACTGACATCTTGTAACGAGTTGGACAGATAGGGGATAATGCCAGTACCATATTCTGTATCTTCATAAATAATGGCAACCTGGCTCCACTGGAAAGCTTTAACAATGGAAGCAATGGCCTCAACCTGATCAGCGTCACTTTGCGCTGTCTGAACAAAATAAGGAGTTCGTGGGATGAGAAAAGGGCTTGTTGCAGAGAACGAAATAATTGGTACATGAGCTATATCTCCGATATCCATCACAAAGTTGACCTGTGTAGCTTTTTGAGGTCCAATAATAGCATCCACCTCAACATCTCTCAGCAAATCAAGAGCTGCATCGATCGCATAAAGTATGAACGAGCCAATCACAACCATCAAAACATCTTAATTATTTATAGGGTCATGCTGATATTGGTAATACCAATAATTTCTTTGTGCCCGTTTATATTACTATTTTCCTTGTCAAATATAGATTTGGCATGCTTGAAAGAGAAATAATTTATTCGTTTATCGTAAAGTGAGAATCTGTTTTCTCAGTTATTTTCTTCAGGATTCAATGTTTTGAATTTTAGAGACATTAACAACATGAATAAATTAAACCAGACTCTGATATGAAGGACAGGTAAAAACATACCAGCAGCAGCAGCATCAATAACGCTGTCATTCGAGTCCCTCAGATGGAGAACCAGCTTAGTTGTATAGTTGGTGTGTACTGAATAAAAATCAGAAAGAGCCATGGACAAGCAGCTCTGGCCTATACGCCCTACTGGTGACTTTAAATCAAGAACTACACCAACTTGAAAACTCATTATGCCATCAGTCGAATTTTGTTCGGTACTTAAAGAGGGAATCAGAAGAAGGGCAATTGACAGCTGAAGTAACAAGAAGTTCATTCCTCCAGAGAACTTGTATATATGATGATAAAACTCCCGCTCTGATCCAGCTACCATCTTGCCGCTTGGCATTCAGTTTTTTGTGGGATAATTGCAACCCCTTCTCTTTAATAGCGACCGATTCTAGCAACTGATTCATAAATAATCTGTTGGAACATAGTCATTGTAAGAAATGAACAGGAACTAGTCAACCCATCGTATTAATTCCTGAAGATTAAGCCTGGTTTGTCTTTCATTCCATTTTACTTATATTCTACTTTTTCTATCCAATCAAAGTCGAACTTTAATCTCAACCATAAGTTCAAAAATAATACTCATTAGTTTCCGTACAGTTTGTGATCCTCACTACTATTCCTCCTAAAAAGTTAATAATAATCAAATCCAAACAGAGGCTAAAAACATGTTGCTATAGAGTTCACAAACGTTTGGAGGACCTTTCCCTAAAAATATGGGTAAGGCATAGTTCAGGCTCAATAGAATGGGGATAGTTCTCCAAATGGTCCTATTATTACAACCTCATTGGCCAAAGAAACAAAATGTAACATTGTTATAATCTCCGTATTTAAAAAGAGCTCCTCCCTTGGATTAGGAGTAATCTATTATGCAGGCCATATTTGGCTTCATTTGTTGTTAGATTGTCAAAGCTATCAAATATCAGTAAAGTACAAAAAAGGAGTAAACATAAAGGAAAAGAAGCTTCTTATACAAACTAATAAAATATATTGGTTAACGCGTAAACATGATCGACAGATAAAATTATAGATTGACACTATCTTCAGATTGGCCTAAATTCCCAAGCTCATAAATCGAACTCCTGAATGACTGGGTCAATAAGAGATGAAGAAGGTGTTGAGAATTTACTTAACATGCATAATAAAAAATAAATATTTTTTCAATTCCCACCCCAAATCTGTTTTGTGTTTAGATAGAAACTGTGTTTAGAATAATACCTTTGGCCCCTGTTTGGGCCACATTATTTTTTTCATTCTCATTCTTCTACTCATTTTCAACCACACATTCTTCAATAAAATAATATTTCCATCACATCAATAACTTTTCCTTCTTTTTCAACCACAAATTCTCCATCAATCTACTATTCCAGAATACATTCTTCCAAAATAATGTGGATCAAACACACAGCTCAAACGAGCCATAATCAAGCAACT